TTTGTTCCACAGACATGATAGGTAGATTCTCTTGCATTCTACTATCTGAAACTGTAAGCTCAAATTAGAGTTGTGATTGAATTTACCACTACCCCCCAAAATCACCATAATATGATTTTGGTTTTTGTACTTAATTATTTCAATTTTTTTGATTTATAAATTTGCCTCAGGAAACACAATTTTCTCTAAAATGAACAAAAGCAATTGATTTCCTCTTGTATGCAATGATGTTATTCTAGCTATTGAATAAAAGAAGTGCTTTGAAAATTCTTATGGTATGCAAAGTTGTATTTATCGTTTGATTACTATAACTAGTAATAAATGATAAATAGTAACTTGTTAGGGACAATATGAATTGTGAATAACAAAAGGCAGAAATTTCTTGGTGCTGACTACAAAGAACTTAATTTAGATCTGTAATCTAAAATGTACTGGGGTAAACTAGTATTTCTCTGAAGTCTGCTTATTTTTGGGGGTGAGCTTTTCCGAACTATAATGAGATAGGAGGACAATCTATATAGATGTTCAAGGTAACATTCAAGGATTTGTAATTCTTATAGAAACAGATAACAGTGGAAGCAGGAGTGAGTTTGACCAACAGGTTATTTAATCTTTTGGGTTTGGGTATTTATTTTTATTTCAGTCACTACTTAGCTACATAAACTCATAGAATTTTATAACTACAATTGATTTTAGTGATATTTGTTATGGGCCTGATAAATTGTAATCATTGGTATTAAGGATTTTAAAGATATACAGACTTCCAATTAAAATCAAGTTACTTTCTAAAGGTACAATTAAAAAATCTTTCTTCAGGAACAGGAATATATTATGAATCAATGTAATAATTGTTAACTGGCCAAGTTTCAAAGTACATTTAAATAATATATGTGAAACTGAGGACACGATCACCCTAAGTCTAGTGTCCATAAGTCAGGACCTGCCTGTCCATTCATTCATTCAGTCAAATACTTTGCAAAGTGTTGAGAAAAAACAAATAACCAAGTAATCCAATTTGCTTGAAGACCAGCTGTGATTTCCAGAGGAGTGCTATGGTTAGTAACTGAATCGTTTTTCAAGGAGCAAATGAAAATTAAGCAAATCAGTTTGATATTGTTGTGTACTTGATGTAGCCAGTTCAATCGAAAGTTTTGGGTCAACTTTCTTTCTAATAGCTGTTCTTATTTTTCAAAGGCTTGCCTACTGATGCGGCTAATGTCCTGTTCATTAACTGCTTTTTGCTGAATATGCACACAGTGACACTCTTCCTTGTTTAGGGCTGCGAGTCAACAATTTAGCACTACTTAAGAGGCTGCCTTTCTTAACCTTCTCATCTTAAGCCTTGAGTGGAGGAGATAACACAGAAAACTGCCTTTTGAAGTCATATTGAACTCATTGACTTTCATCAATGAAGCATATCAGTAGTTGCAAACATTACAGTATAGATTAAACCCTTGAAGAGTTTCAGCCTCGTACAAAAATGAAAAGACAAATACAAAGGACTTTTTGTTGTTTGGAGTCTCTAAGATCAAATTGCCTTCACCTTTGATAGTATATTCAAATACTACATCTTGATTTATCATAGCACTGTATAATTCTTCCACAAATAAAGGATACTCAGACATTTGGTGCTAGAGATGTTCTGTAAAGCTCAAGAATATCTAAAATTATCTTTTTATTACTAGTTTATTAACATTTAATTGGTATTGATTTATAAACTGATAACGTTACCACAAAGTTGCATCTTTAATTATGATGACATGTGTTCATATTACCAATTAAAGAACTTCATGATGATCTAATTTGTAAGATTATAAAATCGTATCATGAAAACTATACAGTAAAGAGAATACTTTTTACATTCAAAGATCCAAAGGGATAAAGAGGGACAAAGAGGATGGAAAGATATGTGGTTTAACTTAGAGGTTCACAAACTTTTTCTATAAAGGGCCAGATAGCAAATAGTTTAGACTTTGCAGACCATGAGGTCTCTGTATTAGTTTCCTGTGGCTGCAGTAACAAGTTACCACAAACCCAGTGGCTTGAAACAACAGAAAGTTCTTCTCTCAGTTCTGCAGGCAAGAAGTGTGAAATCAAGGTGTCGGCAGAGCCATGCTCCGTCTGAGGTTCTAGGGAAGAATCTGTTCAGTTCTCTCTCCTAACTTCTAGTGGTTTCTCCTAACTTCTAGTGGTTTCTCCTAACTTCTAGTGGTTGCCAGCAACTCTTAGTGTGCCTTGGCTCAGAGCTACATCACCCCAGTGGTTGCCTTTGTCCTCACATGGTCTTCTTTCCTGTGTTTCTATAAGTATCTGTATCCAAATCTCCCGTTCTTGTCACTTACAAAGACACACTGGATTTAGGACCCATCCTAATTCAGTATGTCCTCATCTTAACTTGATTGCACCTGCAAAGACCCTATTTCCAAATAAGATTACATTCATAGGTACTGGGAGTTAAGATTTCAATGTATCTTTTTGGAAGGCATAATTCAATCCACCACAGCTTCTGTTGCAGCCACTCAACTATGTCTTTGTAGCATGAACATGGCCAAGGACACTACATTAACAAATGCATGTGCTGTATTCCAATAAAGCTTTATTTATAAAAACAAGTGGTAGATTAGATTTGGCTGGCAGACTAGCATTTGCCAGTAAATACCTGGTCTAAATAATTGAAGCAAAATAGCAGCAGAGAAAAAAAACAACAACAACAACAATAAAAACAGCTTCAGTCAGCCCATTTTTCAAGTACAAAAATGCATACAGATGTGTATATAGAACAACACTTATTTAAAATAGGTGGCAACTAAGGGCAAGAAATGAAACTTTTATAGTGATTTTGAATCTTATATTTCTATTACTAAAAAAGCTTGAAATATATTTTTCTGGTCAACTAAAACCTTTTTGATGATCATTTAGTTTTGAGGGTCTATATGGCCTTTCCTCTAAAGAGATCAAGGTTATTTTGTAAACAAAATTTCCCTTGAACTCAGACATATTTATTAATGCTATGAGAAAGAATGTACCTGTTTCTCTGACTACACATATGCACCATGAGGGGAGGAAAACTGCTTTATTCACTCATTGTTCTGAGCACCTAGAAGATAGCCTAATAACACATAGTAGCCATTCAGTAAATATTTATCTAAAGTAACTTTTCTTTGTTGGACTAAACATAGTAAATAGGTATGTTGGCTTAATCCTGTTGTATAAAAATAATCTCTGTCATTACACCTTGAAATTGTTTATTATCTTAAACTGAAAGGAAAGGTATAATATGAGAAATTTGATTTCTAGTAAGAGATATTGGAAGAATTTGTAAAGAGAATAATAGAATAATGAATCAGAAGGGGGTTAGTGAAAAATAGTAGTTTTTTTAAAAATCAGATTCATGGAATAGAAGAATCTATTCCATGGTAAAGAGGTAAAGAAATTGAGATACAGTTCAATGCCAAACTAAAATATTAGCAACTATTTTGAACAGCCAGGCTCAATTCAATAGCAGAGAAACATGGAAGCCCATATGAAGGAAACCTTTTTTGGCATTATGGGTCGGGGAGGGTGTAGTTTTGTTGAAGGCACAGCAGGAAGGAGCCAACCAAATCTATCCAAGCATAGGCTCTAGAACTCTGTGATCATTCCAGCCCAGGAGTCAGCCACTCTTCTTGTAGCTGGATGGCAAGCAAGAGATGGAAAGTGAGAGGTATACTCGCAGTGTTGCACAGTTGCATCAACACGGGAAAGATCAGCTATAAGACTCCAAGTTGGGAGCATGTTAAAGGCCTATGCGATGTTTGTGCTGGTAACAAATGATGAAGAGAGAGGCTCTTCCAAAGAGGACCTCGCTCCCATGGAAGAATCACAGCCCTAAGTGTGTGGAGCTAAAGAGAAGACCTGGAGCCACCAGGAACTGTTGATTTCAAGTTGATTATGGAATCACTCAAATAAAAAGTGAATTTAGGAAAGGAGTAGGGTGAGAGGAAAATACTGAGGTCTGAAGACAAAGCCTTCAGGGACCTTCAGATTAAAAGGAGGGACAACATGAGAAGGAATAAAGAGATAAAGGAAGACATTTGAAATGCGGATCAGCCTTGGGCAGCTCCCTCTTCTGGGCCCCAAGTCTTGGGCAGCAGAGCCTTTCCACCCACCCCTTCTACTGTCAGTACAGCAAGTTGGGGGAAAAGAGAGTTGCTAAGCAAAGAAACACAATTTGCCTGGCTTCTTCTAACTTATTCTTGCTACTGGCAGTTGCAAAAAATTACCCCCATTGAATTAGCCACTTGAAGTGCCTTAAATATCAGGATAGTACTGATTAAATTCATTTGCTAGAGAGGAAAAAGCATTTTTAAGCAGAGGAGTTTGGGAGGAGGACAAGCTTTTTCCACAATTCAAGACATTTAGGTTCTTAAAACATGGGAATTGTGCCCTCAGAAGGACAAGTCTTTCTATAAAATAATAAAATGTTCAGTGCATTTGTCAAAGTTTCAGTTGCAAGAAGCTCCCAGTTTGGTCCTGTTCTTTAAAAAAAAATAGAAAAAAGAAAAAATAGTGTAAGTTTTTGGAAGAAACAGAAAGGGAATTTATTTATGAATGGAGAAAATGCTATGAGAGAAAACTCTTCCATTGTGGATAGTTTAACAAACTATCGAAGCCAATTTTTAGCTGGTTTCTGTAGTGAAATGTGAGCCTGAGCTTAAATGTTGTTTTTTGGGTTTTTTTTGGGTTTTTTGGTATTAGTGGGGAAAATCAGATATAGTAGGTTCTGGATATAGTAAGTTAAACAAACACCCATGGCTCTCATTAGCAGAAAGTGTGCCTCACCTCTTGGTGACACAGAATCTCTTAACACTGATTTCATAAGTATAAATTTCGTATTGAAAGCAAGTTTCCTAGTAGACAATACTATTGCTGTCGCCATTCTCCAGATTGAGAAGGACAGAGAGTAGTCAGTTCTTAGATGAATGTTATGCTGACATCATGCAAACCTTTTATCTTTACAGGGAGGCCAATGAGAATTGAACCCTGAGCGTAATTTATAACAAGCAGGACTGATGTGCACACAGAAGGAATGAAGTATGGATGTGAAAGAACGGAGGCCTTATTGCTCCCTGACCAAGAGCAGACGAGAGAAAGAGCGGCGGTATACAAATTCCTCAGCAGACAATGAGGAGTGCAGGGTACCCACGCAGAAGTCTTACAGTTCCAGTGAAACTTTGAAAGCTTTTGATCATGATTCCTCGAGGCTGCTTTATGGAAACAGAGCAAAGGATTTGGTTCACAGAGAAGCAGACGAGTACAGTAGACAAGGTAGGTAATCACCCCCGTAAAACAAGGCATGCCCAAATGTTGCTAACTTGTGGGTGTCACATGTTTCCCCCTAAGGTAATGTGATTATTTTCCGATTCTGATGTTCTGTCCACTGATTCTGATTTTGAGATATTAGATGGTCACAGAATATTCCAGATTAGAGGTAGAAAGACATCCATGAGCACGTTGACCTGCAGACACAGGTGCTGACATGTGTAGAAAATGACTCCAAAGCTCCACATGTCTATATGTGAAGTTATGATTCAGCACATGGCCAAAGCGTTTGTGCATAAACTTGAATGGCAAGTCTCTTGGGCTCCCTTTTTCACTGAATGAAGGTGCTCACAAACATTTTTTTAGTTAGAGCCCATGCAAGGAAAACAGTGTGGTGAGGAAACACATCTTGCCCTCCTAAGAAAGTAAGTATTATTATCCTAGATTGTCTCATGATCCAGCCAACCCTGCTTTTGCCTCTGTCTGATTTACGCAAGAGCCTGACATGGAAAGATTCCATTTTCTTTCTCCCAAACAAGTATATTTAGGTTACACCTTAAAACATCCCGGTCTCCTGTAATATAATTCATTATGGTTTGGATATTCGCATATGTTTGTTAAACATTTTTACACTCTGTTTTTTTGCCTACATATCCTACCAGTGGAATAATGATTTCTGTAACTTTACTTCACACCCTGAAACCTATTGATTTCCACACTTATGACAGTAGCTAGTTTTATATTAGGCATATATTTTGTTTCCTCTAGTACAGTCTCAAGATGTGGGCAAGATTACTACTAATAAAAAAAAAATCCTCTTACATTTGTAGTGTGCAATAAAATTTACCTAGAATTTAGCATCCCTTAGCTAATTTAATCTGGAAATGAGGAAAAATAAATTAAACTTTAATAATAAACTATATATTCATTTTTCCTAATCACCTTACAGACAGTGTGACTAACAGTTTGATATTGGGCAGGAACACATTTAAGCAAAAGTAATAATACAACAAATCATTCAAAAGTTTGAACATTTTCCATGGTTCTTTTCTTCCCTACCTTGCGCAAAGAGCCATTCTAACTAGACTGAGATAGTGTTCACTCACCCACACCAGTTTACATCAAAGAAAACTCATTTGATTTGCTAAAGAGAGATTTTTTTCCTCCTCTAAAGCATGCCTTACTAATTACTGGTATCGAATTTTATGAAAAGGGACAAAATAGCTGAACATTCTAAATCCATTTTTTAGGGGAGATAGAGAACACTTACCTAGTACTCTGGTAAGTCAAGGGGCTTTAATTTATTATATTACCATTCTCAACCCAATGTGTTTCTTTGATATTGGCATATTGTCTACACAGCTGAAATAGATTATCAGTGTACACTTTTCACCAATTTAAAAAGTAGTAGGTAGGGTAGAAATGCATGTGATCTGAACTGAATGTGAAGTCTTGCTTTTGTAACAAAAATAACTTGTCTATTGCCTTATTGGGGGAAACACACACACACACACACACACACACACACACAGCGCAAACCCTACAGTGTAGAATAGTATTAGAAGGGAAGAGCAGCACACGTGGTGGGCTGTGTGGAGGAGTTTCATCTCCACCCAAGCAACCGTTTGGTTTTGGCAGTGCAGAGATGTTCACCCAGGTTAAAAATAGCACACTGAAATTTCGCCGCCCAAGCAGCGTTAATGCAGTGCCGACTGTCGTTGACGACCCGGCGATACCATTTGTGGAAACCCTGGGACTGAAGTTCTTAGGGGACCAAAGCGTGCTGTTCCTCACTGCTTGCCAGCCCAGGACTGGAGAATGAGAAGGGACGTAGAAAAGAGCAAGTGGGCGAGGCAGGGGGCGGAGGGCATGGGGTAGTGGGGAGAGGTTGCAGAGCAGAAGTGAAGGGAAAAGCGAACGTGCCTGTGGGATGGAGCCGCAGTTCACCTGACATGTTCATAAGTCAGAATTTATTACAAACGGAAATGGAACGGACCGCTAATTACAGCTCATGTGTACTGCTGCCTTACCGCGTCAGTATATGCTAAGCAGGGGGGTGCTCAGCCCTTGGGGGGGGCAGGTCCCAATAGCACCTTCCTTTCACAGGTTGAGCACTTGAGGCTCCTAAAAGCCAGAGGTCCCCATGGCTCGCAGGAGCTGAGCTGGGATTTGAACCCAGGCTCGTCTGCCCTTGGCACTAATCTCTGTGCAAGCTGCCAAAGTGGAAAACAGGCATCCAGTATAATAATTGCCCTTTGGTTTATTTGAGCTAATTTTAGTCAATTTGGGATTAAAATGGTGATGGCATGGATAGTGAGAAGTGAGCAAACTGAAGACATGTTTAGGAAATAAAACTGATATGATTTTGTAATTGGGTGGATGAGGAGGAGGGCGAGGGAGGCATTGCAAATACTTCTTGTGGTCTGACACCCGGAGTGTTTGCAGCAGGAGTGGTAGGTGTAGGAGAGACATGAATAAGGGAAGTCTGCTATCGGATTATGTTTTTCTTGAACAAGCATAATGAAAAATCCTTCCAGGGTTTCATTTTCTTTTAACCTGACAAATGTCAATTTTTCCTTGCTGACTATTATACTGTGGGATTAATTATTTAATTGACAAAATGTGCTTCCTGCCACAGCTCCTGACATCACATATGTAATAAAAATGAAAGATTAAAAATATTAATAGGAGCCAAATATCTTTGAAACAGTTCCAGAGCATTGTGCTCATTTTAGCTTGACCATGGAGTTTTAAAACAGCTTGTTAGTCCTATATCCACTTACTCCTGGGATGACGCAGGAAAATGCAGCTTTAGCTGGAGGAAGGGATAAGCAGAGACCCTGCTAATGCAGCTGTTAATACATGGAGAATTCAAATCAAGAAATAGGATGTTTTTATTTTTATTGACCCATTTTATGTCTCATTATCAAACTTGATTTTAGTTATTTTCTATGGCTTTACTGACTCATACCTACTGTTAATTACATGTTATATTTAGATATGGCAAACCTGGGGATGATTTTATTTTCACAGTAATGTGTAATTTGACTGGATCTTCCAAAGATCTCTTTTTGTCTTTTTAAATCTCTTCATATGGCTTATTGGTGATGGAAGTGGCTGCTCTTTTTAGCAGCTGTGGAGCTCTCCATAGGTGTAATGGGGTTAGGGCAACCATACTTGTTTTGCATTCTTGGATACTATTTTCTTTGATTCATCTCTGAAGAGAATTTATCTCATCAGGTCTGAGACAAATTTCTTATGAAACGTCTGCATAAGATCATCCTACAGTTTTTGGAGAAGTGATAAAAGAACTTTTTTGCTCTGCTGCAGCTGTCTGTACTATGCACGTTGTCTATGGTATTCTTGGCCAAACAAGCATGCTTATCAACTCCAGCAAGGAATGTTGGCCGTGAGGGTGAACACTGAAAAGAGGTGATGTCTGGAAATAAGAATATGTTTGTTCCACTGAGCTATAAGCATGAAAAGAACCACCTTCGAGACAGTCCTAACCCAAAGCATTTAAGAGTTGGTCAGTCAGTGTTGGGTTGTGAATTTCGGGATTCTAAAATGAAAAGACTACCATTTATTCTTTATTTGTAACACAGCAATGGGGAGGAAGGTTATCTGTTTTTAAATTTAAGAGACAGCATTACAACTATGTTTGTACATAACTGAAATCAAAATAGAAAATAAATGTACAAAGAAGGGAAGGAATTGAGGAAGGCAGATTGACAGACACAGGCACTGACTAATTTCTAAGTGGGGCTCACCTCTGGTCTTCCCTGCCATCATGGTCCACTCCTAGCAACTCCCTATTTGGGACTTGCCTTCTCTTCATTCTTAACATCATCAGAAGTGCTCAGCAGCCCCAGCTCCCACGACCATGGCCTGTGCTTCTCATCTCATGCCGTAGCTGATCCAAGGCCAGTTCAGGTGTGGTTGGAGGGATTCTACTGGGGAGAGGGCTGAGAGAGAAGAAGGAAAGTAGATCCCATGTGCCCTAATTCCTCCATGCTGCACCTCCCTGGTGGGCTGCATCCTGTGCACTAGTCCATCTTTCATACAAATATTCCACATGCTAGACCTGCCCCTTAGCAAGGGTAACCCTCTTGTGAAGAAATAAAGGGCATTAGAAGAGCAGTGTGAGTATTCCTGTAAATATGTATTCAGGATTCTGGCACAGTGGTGGCTTGAATGATGTCTCATCCACTCATCTTCTCACTGATTCCTTACCTCCTCTGAGCTGAGCAGTGATCAAGGGTGCAAGTAAGATCTGCAACTCTGCTAGGATCACAAAGGACCAAGCTGATGGAGACACTTTTCCCTTTGGACCAGATGAGAGCTTGGAAAAGGCTAGGACTTGGTGGTTCCTGGAGACTATCCTGCCTCTCCCATGGACCCTACTTGAAGGAATGTTGCCTTGCAGGAGCAGCGGTTTCTTTGGCCCCTCAGAAGCTTGAGGAACCTAAACAGATGCATTTCTCCACTCTGATATTGTGAGAGTGCCAGCTAAGGAGACCAGAGATTAGAAATGCTTGTCCCTAGAGTCTAAGAGGACTCCCCGCTATTTCTTAAGACTCCCCAGGAAAACAGCATGTTCTATGGCACTCAGAATGCAGGAAGTAAGATAGCAGGCAGAACAAATAGATTAGGAAGCTCTTAAATATAAAATGGCTGTGAGCAATGGATACAAGAGAAGACAATTTGAACAAAAGTAACCAAAATATAAAATTATAATAAAAGCCATTACAGAAATCTAAGAACAATAATAATAAAAATACCAACAACAAACCAACAATGACAACCAAATGCTAGAGAAAAAAGGGCCACAATTTACAAAATAAAAAAGACAATAGCTTGGTTAAAGAAAAGAGTTTAATGGTTTTGAAGACCAGGCAGAACATATAACTCAAAACAGGAAACAAAATTCCAGGTAAAATTCAGAAGAAAACACAAATGTGCACACACAAACTCAGGCACAAGGAATAAAAATATTTTACAAGATT